AAAAAAACCATTAAAAATTTAAATTATTTTCGTTTGAATGCCATCCAGTAAACATCTTTTGTTCACCGGCCAATCAGATCTCTCGAAGTCACCATCTATGTCCTCCTCTGGAATAATAATCTGATAATAATTCTTAACTGGGGGTGAAGGTTATTAATAATAAAAATAATTTTGATTAGAATTATTTATTAATTTCTGAGGATTAGTTTTAGAATATTACCTCTGTGATACACCGTGTACTACACGTACTAACATGTAAAAAAAATAATATATTATAGCCATCATGCTAGACTCCATAAGTATTCTGTAATACTGTGATGGGTGTTACTACGAATCCCAGACTGTTATAGCCCTCTTCACTGTAAGCGTCTAGACTTCTAGCTCAAGTCGCTGCCACGGCGGCTCCATGAGTGCGGCCACCACGGTCATCGATGCACCCTCCACGCAAGTATCTTTATCTCCCACACGCGCTGCACTGGCCAGCGCATCTGAGAAGGCGGCGGCTATCCCGGGCCAGGTGATTGTCGGCGCACTGCGCATCCGAGGTACGCACCAATTTGTCTAAAATAACCGTATTCTGATAGCTAACACCACGCATCTCGAACAGTACTGCAGGCGATCGATTTACCAACCCCAAGAGCTGTCGAAAATGGCTCCGTGACGACTTCATCATGGCTACCTTTTGCTGGACGCAGACCCCCACAGCATCAGAACCTGCAGCATGAGGCAATCCCAGACATGATCTGTGTGCTATTACGAGCCTCAAATTCGGGAATTTTTGCAACGGAATCACGCGCTTGGGCCAGTGCGATCTGCTGGGATGAAGTGAGTTTTGTGAATATTTCAGAGGCGTTGGATTGATCCTAAAAACACGTGTGATATTGTGTAGGAGTTTTACATGGAACAAGTGAGTTCGAACGACGAGGTGGAGCTATTCTGTCTGGATCGAGTTAGGAATAAAACGCACGCAAGTTTACCGCTTCAAGGCGATATCAGTTCATGTCCAGGATACATTGGCAAAGGTGAGGAGGTTTACATGTATTTTTGTAATTTTTACTAACGGGTATATTGCTGTGATGTTGGTGAATTGCTGGCAGTGACTTTGCCCCTTACCAGGCTTCCAGAAGGACAGGAAGTGGAGCAGTGGTATCCTCTTGTTCGGAAAGAGTCTTCGTCTGCGCTACGCACTGCCCTTCGAGTTTCGCTGTATTTTGTTCCGAATGGGGTACCAGCCTCAGTTTCGCAGACTCCTGAAAGAGGGCGCGTCACCCCCACGTCAATGCTGCCACCCTCTCCAGCGACGGAGATTTCTTCCGCATCACCCGTGTCGAACCAATTGCGAGTAGAGACCTCTGAAGCTGCAAATGCTGCAACTATTCCACTCGAATCGGGTATTATTGACTACGTAATTGTGGTAGGGGCTGCAGTTAACGGTGACAACTCCTCAAGCTTGGATGAAGCGCAAGTTCGTTTTCGATACCCAATCACAGATCGACCGGATTTCCCACTGCCGACAAAAGTTGAGTGGTTTTGCTTCCCGGGTGGACCTGAAATCGTCACTCAAGCTGATCGACCTCAGAGTAAAATATTTTCGTTTGTACTGGTGGGTGGCGATGATGGTCTGTGCAGGTGTTACGTCGTGTGTCTTGTGGTGTATCATCGCCGTCCCAAAAGTAGAGGGGCCGAAGTGAACGAGTGGGATGCTACATGTATAGCGTTTTTGACACGGATTCCGCAGATTGAAGAGGTTACAACATGTTTACTTGCTGTTGCTCATGCTTGGATTGCAGCAAATGGAGACAAGGAAAATAATGTTCTGGAAAATACTGACGAATTGCGGCTGACAAATACACGAAAACAATTATGTAGTCTTTGTCACGAGATCACACTACCAGTTCGTGGTGTTTTTGGCGTCCAGTTTGCTGTTCACAACGTAAAAATTCGAATTATGGTGCCGTCGATGACATCCATTTACACGATGAAAGAGGCTGTACTTGCACGACCAGAGCTTCGACGTACAGCATCAGCTCAGGGTGCACAGCCATCTCCTACGAAAGCGAGAAGCTTCATCGCTATCCAACAAGGTTTCCAGCCTCTGGTGTATTCTCTCGAGCCAATTTTCCAGCTCTTCGATATCAAGACGATCATCTATCTCGTGGCGCTCGTTCTCTGCGAATACCGGATACTTATCCACTCTACACAGCAGTCTTTGTTGTGTCCAGTAGCTGAGGGACTTTGTGCACTCATTTATCCGTTCCGATGGCAACACCCTTACGTGCCTATTTTACCTCGAGTGCTTTCAGAATATCTCCAGGCCCCTCTCCCGTACATCCTAGGAATTCATACCAATTGGCTACAAAGTTTGCTTGAAAATGGTCGTCCAGAGCATCTCGTGGTGGTTGACATTGATCGCGGGACCATCCAGTTGCAGGAATCCGGCGGGCCAGTATTACCTCACAAATTAACAACAGCTCTTCATCACAGGCTAAAAACTATTTTACATCCGTCATTATTTGGAGAAATGGAGAGCAACACTGATGACGAACCGAAGCAAGACGTTAACAAAGAGCGACGCGATATCGTTGAGTGGGGTCCTGACACAGGAAAGCAAGTGCGGATGGAGTTTGTGTGCTTTCTTTCTACGCTCGTGAGGGGATACCGTGAGTGCCTGTTTTTCGTGAACCAGAAGCTTCCAGTTTTTAACAAGCGTCGCTTTTTCGAGAGTGAAGCTATCGACAGTGAAGTGACTCCGTTGGTGACTCGGCTGTTCTGCACGCAGGCCTTTCAGGCGTTTCTCGAAAGCCACAGCTCAGCTGAGCTAAGTGTGTTCCACTCCGTGTATCTCACGCTTTGTCGAGGACCAAAGGATTATCAGTGGTCTCAGTCCACTCGAGCCTTATTAACATCTAAGAGCCAGCATTCGTTCCTGGATACAGGACCAGCAAAGACGGATATACCGGTTCTTGTCATAGAAGACCCCAGAACTAGCAAGGGATCTAACGGTGACAATCGTGATGGAGGTGTACCAGTACAGGTTACTCCGACGACCTTTTCAACGTTCAGTGATGGAGAAGTCGATATAGATACACAGGAGACGTTGAAAGATTTGGGCATAAAGATCGAAAACTTGCTGAATGAGGAGAGAGCAGTTCAATGGGACCCATTTGCGCTTGAGACCAGTGATATCGATGCTCATACGGCTGCTTCGTCTAAGTCGAGTGAGAACTTGAACCATGAGATTCTCGCCCGAAAGCTTGGAGTGGAGCCAAGATTGCTGAAAGCAAACGCACATTTACTGAAAAACGCGCACCAAGTGAACCAATATCGCCTCCATATTGACAGCATGGCTGCGGCTGCACTAGCCGGGTCACCTGGCCCTGGCGGGCGTTTTCTATCGTCGGAAGATGAACGAATCGAACAAGTGCTTCATAAGTGTTTGACTGCAGTGTTCACGTCTGATGACTCGGTTACCGAGCAAGAGATACGGGTATTTTATGCTTTACCAGTTATTTTCTTTTTCTTTTTACTGACACGGAGTTCTACGTTTTGTTATGATTTCCAGGCTTGTGTGTCATATTTTAAAAGCGCACACGCGAGGGATTTATTTGTTCTTATCCTGATGCAACCTAGCAATCAGTACGTTGAAAGCGTGAATGGATCTCCTAAAGCGGGCGGTACGATGAGCTCTTCAGCATGGTATAATCCGAAGGGTTCTGGGAGCTACATTGGCGCAGCAGGGTTCCGGTTGCTCGCAAGGTTGACGTCAGCATTAATGAACCAATGTGCGGTCCATGAGGATTACTCGACGGCGCGTGGAATCCTTCAAGTCGCACCCCAGTACTATCACTATGTGGAGGATAAGCACAGTGGTATCGGATTCGGTAAGGCTCTTCATGCAATGATGGGCGTGTATAATCTCAATACTTATTGATGTTACGTTTTATTACAGCAAAGAAGGAGTACCTTGTGACACCTCTTCGCTTGCTGCCCATTTGTCGATCGCTGGATTTATGGCAGCACGCGTTTATCTGCGAGATCGATGCTGCGAACCAAGCAGATCCTACCGAATTTGACGAAGAAGGCCCAAAGACTGTGGGAGACGAGCTCTTCTTTTCTGTGATTGGGAGTCTGATGTACGACATGCTCAACTATGAAGTACCGCTCCAGAAAGTGTTGACTTTCGTGACAGTTATGTGCTCGACGTACCAAAAGGAGAAAGAGTTGTTGGACACTCTCAAGCAACTCGCAGAAAATGTGTACCGTGCTCTCGATATGTCCAAGGACATCAAGCCCTCTCCACCTAAAGATGCTGTTCAACCCAGGATCAATGTAAAGACCGTAAACAACAAACCGCCACCTGCCGCTCCTTCCAAGCTAGAGCTTCCTCCCGAGACTTCATCGTCTACAGCACCGGTGGTATTTGCTGAGAGTCCGGTGTTATCACGCGAATATGATCTGAACACGGTAATTCGCCGCAAGATGTCGGTCCGGGAGATGCCTCAACTCAGTCAGGTGAAGGCGGGGAGTCTGGGTGATGAGCGTATTACCAATGGCAATCAACATCCCGCAGATTGGATGAGTAGGACCCCACCTACACGTCGAAGGAGAAGTAGCGCTGTCTTCCCAAGTGCAGTGTTGGCAAAGTCCGGTTCACCTGTACTTTGTTTGGCTACCAATAACGACCGTGCAGCTTGTGGTATGGCTGATGCGCGTGTGAACGTCGTAGATATTGATCCATCTGAAGAGGAGAAAGGTATCAGACTTGACGGTCACAATGATGCTGTGGTGGCTATACAGATGCGTGGGAATGCGCTGATCTCCGGGTCTCGAGACCATACTCTACGTGCTTGGGACTTGCGTGCAACACCGAAGAAGCGCAACATGTTCTCGTTCTTCTCCTTGTCTTCCACCAGTAGCAACACCATGAACTCGACCGAAGACAGTGAGGTAGATGGCGCGTCAGTATCCAAGCGGAGTATCGTGATGCGTGGACATTTGGATGCAATCACGTGTATGGAGCTGGGACATCAGCTTGGAACTGGTCGCTCTTTGTTAGTTTCTGGCTCTGACGATGGTACAGTTCGGATATGGGAAACAACAAAAGAGAGCAGTGTAGCACTGTTAAGTGGACACAAAGCTACTGGCAAACCCGCAGACAATGGCGGAGTAAGCTGTCTGCGTTTACTCTCAAGTGATGATGACTTGGCATTGGGTTATCGTCGTCGGACAGTGCAGATTTGGGATCTCGCAGTGTGTAAGCTAAAGGTTAATGTGGAGGCTCACCAAGCTGGTGTACGGGACCTGCAGGTATCTGGCACCCGACTTGTGACGGCGGCGAATGATCGCGTTGTTAAGGTGTGGGATACATCCTTTCGAGGAACAGGGGGGCCTGTACATGCTGTGCAAGACTTATGTGGACATGGTGGCCCTGTTCAGTGTGTGAGTCTTGGAGGACCTGCAGATCCCACCATTTGCACTGGTGCAGCCGATGGTCTTGTTCGCGTTTGGGATCTTAGATATGTGCAGCGAGGACCACGATTAACACTGCGGGGTCACATAGGCCCGGTGACGCGTCTGCAGCGTGACTTCACGAAACTGGTGTCAGCAGGAGAAGACGGATGGTTGCGCGTTTGGGATATGCACTCGGGTTCGTGTCTTCGCGAGAAGAAGGTGCACTCTTCTGGTGTCACTTGTCTTGAAATGCGTGATTCACTGGTGTATTCTGGCTCATGGGATGGCTCGGTGCGTGTGTGGGATATTGAGAATGTCAATAGTTCTGGTCAAGCTGCGGTATAGCTCTACAATTTCCAGCTAGCCACGTGATGATAATATTGTTGGCTCACATGTTGAAGTGACAACGATGCATTTCGACCAAAATGAAAAAGATAGTTGTCGAAGGAGGCAAAGTATTGCTCATCGATTTTGAAGACAACGAGACTACAACTTTTTGTGACCTGGCGAAGAGAATGATCGACTTCGCGAGCCCTACAAGTATACTGTGGGTGATCTGACGCTCTATTTGGCGAAGAGAGATGACGAATGGTTGCGAGATTACTCTTACGACGTCGACCTGCTTGTGCATGGCGAATTCCCAGACTCAATTAAGGCGCTACTAAAGGAGGACAGCAAGTGAACCTCGGGAACCTGATGTGCGACTTTGACTTTCGTCGCAGGGCTGGCATGCCATATGACAAATATCACGTTATCCTGGACCCCCAGAGCGAATCAAGTGCCTGTATCGCCAACACCGACAGGAAGAACGACAATACATCGAAATAGTGCACCGAGCAGGTAGGATCAAACGCAAGCATCTTGTATTCACATTAACTCATGAAACTTGGATGCTGACACAGTTATGGCGCGTGAGGCAAGACGAGCGTGCACAGTTGACCGTTCTGGGCCGGGATTCCTTATTGGTACGGCGCTGCTGTCGTCTTGGAAGTCGTTTGCTTCGTTTTCGACGCGAACATCTCGCTGGCAACAATATTTGTTTCGCGGTGGTCGGCAACACGGCTTTACGAGGACGTAAGGATAAGTTAGTCCATTAAAGCCGGCGGC